CCCTGAGCCTAAATTCTTATTTTGGCTAGAGGAAGAAAAAAGTATTGGTCAAACTTGCCAACCTCCCTGAGCCTAGATCATTATCTCGGCTAGAGGAAGAAAAAGTGTTGGTCAAATCTGCCAACCTTACTGAGCCTAGATCCTTATCTCGGCTAGAGGAAGAAAAAAGTGTTGGTCAAACCTGCCGAATTTGTGAATTCTTTCAATACATTTAAATAAATGCAACTATAGCAATGTAATTCTTGTATCTAATCTTTACTCTACTCCTTTTATTTCTTTTTTCTTTTCTTTTTTTTAACTTCTAAAGCAAATTCACATATTATAAAATAAAACAAGATTTTTTTGTTTTTACAAAGAAAAGAACATACCAAGTTGTTCATAGGCTTCGAAGCACGAAAAGAAAAAGAGGCCCTTTTTATAAAATAAAAATAAAATAAAATAAAGACTACTTGGGCTGCGAGAACGTTTCCAGCCCAATCTTGCACGAGATGAAATTGACATGGAATGGGCCCTTTCCCTTTTAATGGGCCGAGTGGCTTCATTTGGACTACATTTTGCTTTCCTAGCTACAGCCCAGTCCAAATGTTTTTACTCTTATCCTTCTTATTTAGAAAATTCTAGAAAACAGAATTTTATTACAAAAAATTTCTTAGGAATGATGAAATTGTGATCAATGTTTTGTTTTCAATTGGCTTGTTTCAAATAATGTATATGAACAAACATTCAACACATATTATGACTTTGAAATGGATCTCTCTTGACTATGATAGAACCATCACAAAATTAATAGGCTTAGTTTAGTTAGTCAAAAATCTTTATATCTTATCATGTATCAAAGGTTCAATTATTATCATAAGCAAAGTCACTAATATATAAAAAACCCAAAAAAAAAAAAAAATTAATTAAAAAATAAATGAAGAGGAGCCTATGAGAAAATATAAGTAGAAAGCACAATTATATCTACAGATTTCAAATAATTAATTTTTTTTTAAAATTATTTTTGCCTTATAAACTTTAAGTTATACCAAACAAGCACTATACGATTAGAAGTGTAAAAATAGCCCGCAGCCCGTGAGTAGCCCGAAGCTTGCTCTAGGCTTCCGAGACCTTGGGCTTGGGCTTGGGCTCGAGCCATTATTTTGAAGCTCGGCCCATGGCCAGCACATCGGCCCACTAAGGCCCGACCCACCTGATGCCAAATGTTTTTTTAGTGAAAAATAATAAAATTTTAGTAGAAAAAATAAAATTAAAAAAATTATTCAGGCCCACCAGCCTACCTAATGCCCAAAACTCCTTGTGCATGGGCCTAATTTTTGGACCAGTGGACAAGATCGGCCCGACCTAAATTTTGGCGGGAGCCCCAAGGCCCGATATGGGTCAGACCGGACCAAATTTACACCTGTCCGAGATCAAACATATTGAACCAAAAAAAAAAAAAAGGAATTAACAACCGTGGTATGAGGAGAGAAAAGAGGGCTCCACAATGTTTCAACTAGAACAATAATTTTTTGTTTTGACAAATGGACCCAAACAACTTTTTCATAAATTATATAGATTTCTGTGTTCATTGGGTTGATATTCTAATATTGAAGATTATAAAAAACTAGAAAATAAAATAAGAAAAACATTCTAAGAACCTTGGCCATTATGAACATTAAAATTAACTTTATCACAATTATGTTATTTATCAACATTTATATTGACACTGCATGACATGATGCATATCAAAAATAATATTAACACATCAAACTGAATGGTTTATTATTCAAAAAAATTATTTGTGAATTATTTTTCATTTCAAAAGTAAGTTATAGAACTAAAAAAATATAACAAAAAAAGTAAACATTAAAATGATGTGGTTGTGTTTTGAGTCTGTTATTAAAAAGTCATTGCTTGCCACATCATTTTGATCGAATTTTTTTTCTAAACTTTTAGTAAATTCTTTTTTGACACCATTTGAGTTATCTACTACTTTTATGATTAACAAAGGAGAATGATGAATTATTATACCAAAGTCATATGCAAAAATGATTATTAATCTAATTTGAAAGATCCCAATATGCTATTGGATATGAAGATTGAATGAAAAATGTGAAGATACTTCCATTTGAGGAATGTCAAAGTGGAATAATTCCTCCATATATACATAGAACTTGGACATGAATGAGATGCCAAATGAACTAATTATTCTTTTGTATAAACAATGGATAATTTGCATAGTCAAATTGAGGGTCAATCAATGGAGTTAATTTACTGACCAGAATTCACGTACATTAGTAGTAAAAAGTCATAAATTCAACTCGTCTCTCCTTCTCTAATGTATCACAAACACAAAATTAAAAGTCTATTGATAGAAATACAAAAATCAATTCCCATTTAAAATGCAAATGTTCTACCACTGAACTGCAAGATATATATATATATATATATATATATATACTGGGGGATTGGCCCAAAAAAACAGTTTTCTTTTTTTTTTTTTTTTTGTGTTTTCAGCGAATTGGGGGTCGACCCCCACTGGGTGTATAAATCACGGTTGATTTATTTATATATATATATATTTGACACACATGTGGGAAGCATTAGGATCTCTAAATGTTGGCACAAAATGTCAAGTGCAAAGATTTGGAGACCCCACATATCACACTTCAAGTTTTCCAACATTTGAAGTTAACATCATTTTTGTGGCTTATATATAGGGCTTGTGAACCATTCCTTTCTATCAAACAAAATCAAAGACAAAATGGGGAAACATGCAAATCTTCAAGGCGTTGGTTGCTCACTCTCCCTCAAGGGCTTCTGACTCTTATTTGTGCACATATTTTGTCCCTAGTTGTGCTTGGATCTTAGCTTTTATTTTTTCTTTTGTTCACAAATTCAAAATTCAAGTACAGCATAAACATAGGACATTTGTGATGGGGCTAAAAGTACTTGAAGGGGAATGAACAAGCCAGGTGTTGCTTGTTAGGAGTATTGATGGCACTGTTCCGAGTCCAAGACATCCCAATTGTCTACTCTCCCTCAAAGGTTTCTAACGATATTGATAAGATAGCAAGCCCGAAGCCACTAGGAAAAGTGAGTGAAAGATGTCTTGATAATGTCACAAGATTGGGAATGGGACAAGAAAGGAGATAAAGATTCACATACTTTATATTCATTCAGTTATGTTACAATAACATTTGAGACATCTTTTCGTTATTGAATAAATGACTAATCCTTATAAGGAGTTGGCCATAGTAGGTTGTCATTTATTTGATAAAAAAATAACAGCAATGAAATCACATTTTATATTATGTTATATTTCTTGTTTTACTATTAGGCCCCGTTTGTTTTGGAGTTAAATAAATGAAAGGGGATTAAGATAGAGGTGGAATTATTTAGTGTTGTGTTTGTTTGTAGAGTTGGGAAGAGGATTAGGATGGAGGAGGTGGTATAAATGGAGGTCGGAAGGGGGATTGAGATGGAGGAGGTGGAGATGGTATTAAAAAAATAGTGAAGGGATTAGAGATTTATTTATTTATTTTTTATTTTTTATATATTGAAATTTTTTTTTAAAATATTAATGTTTAATTTTTTATATTTTTTATTTGTTTTATTATTTTATATAAAAATAATTTAAGATTTTTAATTTATGGAAGTCATTTCGCATGCAAACCTTTATTTTTCTTTTTATTTTTGAACCAAAAAAATCTTATTTATTTAGAAATCTCCAAACAGAGTGTTAGATATTGTGACATGAATAACGAATTTGTGAATTCTTTCAATACATTTAAATAAATGCAACTATAGCAATGTAATTCTTGTTCTAATCTTTACTCTACTCTTTTTTCTTTTTTTTCTTTTTTGTTTAAAACTTTCTAAGCAAATTCACATATTAATAAATAAAACAAGTTATTTTTGTTTTTTATTTTACAAAAGAAAAGAACATAGCAAGTTGTTCATAGGCTTCGAAGCACGTAAAGAAAAAGAGGCCCTTTTTAGAAAATAAAAATAAAATAAAGACTAATTGGGCTGCGAGAACGTTTCCGGCCCAATCTTGCAGGAATGAAATTGACATGGGAATGGGCCCTTTCCTTTAATGGGCCGAGGGCTTCATTTGGACTACATTTTGCTTTCCTAACTACAGCCCAGTCCAAATGTTTTTACTCTTATCCTTCTTATTTAGAAAATTCAGAAAACAGAATTTTATTACAAAAAATTTCTTAGGAATGATGAAATTGTATCAATGTTTTGTTTTCAATTGGCTTGTTTCAAATAATGTATATGAACAAACATTCAACACATATTATGACTTTGAAATGGATCTCTCTTGACTATGATAGAACCATCACAAAATTAATAGGCTTAGTTTAGTTAGTCAAAAATCTTTATATCTTATCATGTATCAAAGGTCAATTATTATCATAAGCAAGTAAACTAATATAAAAAACCCAAAAAAAAAAAAAATTAATTAAAAAATAAATGAAGAGGAGCCTATGAGAAAATATAAGTAGAAAGCACAATTTATCTACAGATTTCAAATAATTAATTTTTTTTAAATTAATTTTGCCTTATAAACTTTAAGTTATACAAACAAGCACTATACGATAGAAGTGTAAAAATAGCCGCACCCGTGAGTAGCCCCGAAGCTTGCTCAGAGGCTCGCGGTGGGCTCGGCTCCGTTTTAGGCCTGAGCATAGTCCGAGACCTTGGGCTTGGGCTTGGCTTAAAAAGTCATCCCAAACATACAAGTTTTTTTTACCTATCTTTTTAGCCAAATAGCCAAAAAGTTACTAAATTAGCCTGTTCCCAAACGAGGCCTTAATTTGAATATGGGTCTTGTGAACATGAGAACACATGTTAAGATAATTTAAAAAAGATTGTATATTTTTTTATTGTATTTTCATGTAAAATGTACAATCTTTATAAATTTGTCAAGGACAACAAATTTTGAAATTTGTACTCTCTAAAAAAAATTGCGAAAAGCTGATTTTTATATCTTCAATATTTTTATGAATTTGTTAAGAAAGTGTCCCCATGAAACAGTACTGGTGATTGTGGTGAGAAATGATTCGGCATCCAGTGGGTACTGTTAGGCTAACACCATAGACATTGGCCCAGTTTGTTATCACATATTGAAAATTGAGGTCCCTATGAAGCAGTACTGGTAATTGTGGTGAAAAATGATTCAGCATCCAGTGGGTACGGTTAGGCTAACAGCATAGACATTGGCCCAGTTTGTTATCACATATTGAAAATTGTTTTTAGAAAACAGAAATTAAGAGTACACTTTTTTTCCTTTTTCTTTTTTTACTTTCAACAACCATTTTTTTAGTATATTTAAATTATTTATCTCATAAATTGTACGTATAAACTTCACTAAACACTTGATACAAAATTTTAAGATAAAAAGGATACAAGCAACTTGATAAACTGCACTAAACATAATAATTAAATACAAAACTTGACATTAAAATGAAATGATTGAAAGAATGATTAGGGATAATAATCAAGTGAAGGACAAAATGCACCACCATCCGAGAAGTTTATTTCTCTCAAAACACAAAACAAAATACTAACTAAATTTTACTATTTTAATCAAAAAAAATCTAAATTAAAAGATCATATAATTAATTTTGTGAACACCATATCCCAAATGAAGGGGTTGGCATGTGATGAGATTGGTACATGTATGACCCACACCACACACATGTCAGCCTTGTTACTTTTTCTCTAGAGAATACAAAAAAAACTTTGTTGAAAAATGTAAGTTTTAGCAGCAAGTGGATATCTGCCAAGCTGCTTAATTTATAACCTTAACAACATAAAGGCTTGGTTTGGGAAGTGGGTTGGCTTTTTGGTTTTTTGGCTTTTTTGACTATTTTAGCTTGGGCTTAAAAGCTTGGTTTGGGAAGGGCTTTTTGGCTTTTTGGCTTTTTTGAGTTTTTTTGTGAGAGAAGAATGTAATCCAACTTTAGAAAGAGGAGGAGAGGGAGTATAGAAACCCATAAATCAACTTGAGAGACTATGGAACTTTTTTTTTTTAACGGTACAGTAATCTAAACACAAAAACGAAAACCCAGCTACGGGTAACCAAGTCCATAACACACCCTTCTGTACAATGGGTAAAAGGTGCAAACAGAGCTGTAGAAAATCCCAAAATATATATATATATATATATATATATTTTAATGGAGGTGTAATATAAATTTAAAATTAATGAGATATAAGTCATACTCATAATAAATATAATTTATTAATTTATTATTGAATACTATTTAAAATTTATAATATTATAGTTATCTCGCTAAATTGTTTGGTTGGTGTGGCGACTTAGGAGGTGCTAATGACCTGGCATAGCTCTGAGATAAACTTTGTTGAAGTTTATCTATGTAGTTATTATTGGAAAATATTGGTTTTCAGTAATTTTAATTTGAAATTGAAATGGGACTTAATTGCAAGTTGAGGTAGGTCTGAATGGTTTTTTATTCTCTTAAGTGAAAAGATTGTAATACAAAAATAATAAGCCGAAACTATTGAGATGTGAATGAAAATTGTCTCATAAAATGGACATCAATAAAAGTTAGACTTAGATTTGAGCTTAGTCTTGGTTTGGACTGGGTCTAGACTTGTGCTTGCACATGTTCTAGATGGTCAATGTAATTTACACAATGTGTTCATTTAGATCATGTTGTTTTAATTTGTTCAATTTTGACAGGGACTAAATTGATATATTGTGTAAATTACAAGAACCAAATTGACACCTTATGTATACTTTCTATCCATCAAACTTAACAACTGTTATTTATTGAAATCCGTTAAATTAAAATTGAACAAATTAAAATAACAAAAACCAAATTGACATATCATGTAAATTATAAAAACTATTTGTATAATTTACCCAATTTAATTTAAATCATATATTAGTATTCTAGGCCAAATATTGTTGACCCATAACTACACTAACCCTTTTGCCTGCTATCAGGAGTTGCTTGAAATGTCCTAAATAAGTGTGTTTTTTGACTTTTTAGACTAAAAAGTTGAGGAAAAAAATATGGTTGTTTGGGATAACTTTTTAACTTTTTACGAAAAAATGTGTATTAAAAAATTGTATAAATTTGTGTATAGAAGAACATTGTGATGGAACAGGCCGTACGGTTGGAAGGCGTAAGGGGCAGCGTGTGTAGAGGGTAGGATAAGAGATGATTCCCTCTTTTTCGGGCATTAAATTGGACGGTACTGTTTGGCCCTTGGGGGTCCACCACGGGTCTCGTTTTGCTAATCGGAACCATTCAATGTGTAGAACTCGTCGAGTACTATAAACTAGTAAAAAATCATGTTGATCGGATATCGATAGCTGTATGATCGGATTAGTTTTTTTTTCAACCATCAACTATAACACAATCCATTTTTTTACATAAAACTGATTTGATCATATAGTTAGCGATATCCAACCAATGTGATTTTTTATAGGCCTATAGTACTCGACGAATTCTACATATTCAACGGTTCAGATTATCAAAACGGGACTTGTGATGGCCCCCATGAGCGGAACAACACTGTCCTTAAGTTTGTCTCCGCCTGTGTAATTTGTCCTCACCAAAGTCAGGCAAAGACAACTCACATTAGAGTGAGTTGACTCACAATTTGTATAAAAATAATTTTTTTTTAGGAATAGTAATAACCTTTTAACTTTTTATCTCATTTTGAAGATGCCAAATTAGTTATTATTGACACATAAGTATATATGTGTATATATATACAACATCACGCACATGGGTTATTTTAGAAAGATAATTTCCAACTTTTAATTCATTTTAAATTATATCACATCTTATAAATTTTACACATTTAAAAAAAAAATCAAAAAATTAACTTTTAACTATATTCTCAAAATAACTCTATATACACACACCGATACATTTTGCACGAATCTACATGTGCTGGTGAGAGTGAGATTGAAGAAACACAACACATGGCCTTGCTCATTGTGACCACTTTTGTATCATTCAAAAAAAAAAAAAAACCCTCTTCAACAACCCCATCTCTTGGTAATTTTATCCCTATAGTATAATCTATTTTGTGCAATCTTCTAGATAATTAATAATTTTAAATTATAAGATTAATCAGTACCGATCAATATATGATAAATATTGATATCAAAATTTTAAAATTTTAATACATTTTGACCGATTAAAATCTTGTCGAAAACACTAGTTAGTTTGAAATTGTGTAAATGTAAAAAAATTATTAATTGATCTAGAGACACTACGCGATCATACTATTAACCAATCACAAATTCTTATACCCCTCATGTTTCTTAATCACTTAATATAAAATGGTACATCCTACCATCTCTATCAATCAGAACACGTGAGACAGCATGTGACGGTGCCCAAAACCAACCAATAACTTATCGTGAATGTGGAAAAAAATTTCTCATACCTGTCTCCAACTAGTCTGTACATCCTGTTGATAACATCTTCCTCTTGTGAAGTCATTTTTATGAACTCCCACACTATGCTACTCACTTCTGCACAACAACAATCAACAACAATAACAATAAAAATATTCTTTAAGAGCCTTTTTCTAGGGAACCAAACAAGGACACCAAGGAAAGATTCCACTAAGAACTGATAAATTGAATTCCACAAGACACAGTTTAAATAAGAGGAAGAAGAAAAATGGGAAAAAAGAATATGAATAAATTTAAGCACACAGAAACTAATCACAATCTTAACACATAATATATATGAATATAGAATATATTTGTAGGGACACATAATATATATGAATATACAATTCATATAAACGGACAAGGTTTCTGAAAATTAGACTCCACTAACAAATTTCGTAAAATTTTATTCATTATTTATATTTTGTGTTTGATTATGTGATTGGAGAGAGAGTAGAGTTACCTTCAGAAGTGGTACTACTAGTGGTGGTCTTGGCTTGTTTCCGGGGAGGTTTGTCCATAGCTTGTATAGCCACTGGCACAAACAACACACACTCTTAAGACTCAGAGAGAGAGAGAGAGAGAGAGAGAGAGAGAGAGAGAGAGAGAGAGATGGGAAGAAAGAGATGAGAGATGGGTTGGTTGTGTGTGTGGAAAAAACTGTGGGTTTAGTGAGAGAAAGAGAGCTGAAAAGAAAAGGGTATTTGCAAGAGGAATTGGGATCCTCCCCTTCATCTCTCTCCTTCTTTCCTTCCTTGCAGGGCTTTCGGGTCTACTTTGAGGCCCAATTTTGATAATCCGAACCGTCATATTTTAAGATTTATTCAATATATCATACCTGTAAAAAATCAAGTTGATCGGATATCAGAAAGTATGTGTTCGAAAAACTGTTTATTAAAAAATAGTTATAGTCCTAATTTTTTGAGCGCATACTTTCTGATATCCGATCAATTTGATTTTTTACAGGTATGATATACTGAATAAATATTAAAATATGAACGGTTTAAATTATCAAAATTAGGCCTCAAAGTGAACCCGAAAGCCCCTACAAAAAGGGAATAAAGGAACTTATTTGTAAAAATAGGGCTTTTTTTTTTTTTGAAAAATACAAATTCTTATTTTTTAAGTCCAAAAACCCTTTCAAAAATTAAAAAAAAAAAAAAAAAAAAAAACCCCACAGTTGACTCGTAGTTATCCCCTTCCACATGTTCATCTCTTATTTGTTGGTCTTTTATTTTAATCAATAATATTATTACTATATTACAAAAGGGTATAGTGTTAATCCACTCACACAAACCGTCCGATCTTACCTTACGTTTTTAGGTAGTTTTGAGAATTATGTATAGGCGGATGCAGGTGTAATTTTTATCCTACTGCAAGCAAAGGGCCAAGAGTTACTTTTATTTTGTTTGTTCTTACCTTAGCCCAAGCAATACAGTAGTAAAACAGTTCAAGAGTCATTTTTCATTCTTTTCTCATCTCTTGCTCTTTTTCTCTCTCGCTAAAGCAGTAACAGTCCAACGCAACAGCAAAATATGTAATATATAGATATATATTCATATTGATATTGACTCTATTTTTTTTTATACAAATATTCAACCCATCAAATAATATTTTAATATTCAACCGATCTGCGCCCACCTGCATAATCGATTAACTCACCAACAAAAACCACAACCCACAAATCAGACAGCTCTAGGTCCACTTTTCATGACCCACACCAAAACGGATCGGGCGAAAACTAGCCCGCAAACAGCCCTGGTAGGCATCTCAAAAATTATCAAAAAATTTACATAATAGTGACGTGTGTCTAAATTTTTTTTAGGGTAAATTACATTTACCTTCCCTAAGGTTTCTGACAAATACAGGGACCTCTCCTGTGATTTGAATAATTACAGTAACCTCCCCTACTTTACCTGACAATATCAAAATTCCCCCTTGCTGTCAAAAATCACTAAACGGTGTCACTTTTTCCTTCAGAAATTACTTTATTGCCCTTCCCTTTAAAAATATTAAAAAATGTTTTTGGATTGGAGGATAAGTTTAGAGTGTTTGGAACAGTATTTTTAGATTTATTTTTTAAAAATATTAAAAAATGTTTTCTCAAATCGTAACCAAACACATAACTCAAAACTCAATTCAAAAATTATTTTCAAACCTCATAACCAAACACATAACTCGACACTCCACACTATTTTTAAAACTCTACATTCAAATCGTAATCAAACGCATAACAAAAAAATAAAATATTTAAAAATATATTTATAAAATAAAATAAAATCTTTAAAATAAAAATATATATTTAAAATAAAAATAAAAATTTTAAAATTTTTTAATATTTAAAAAATATATTTAAAATATCAAAAAAAATGCAACACATAGATGTATGAAATATAATGCACATTAAAATAAATAAATAAATATTTAAAATATAAATATGTATCCTAAAAAAATAAATTCAAAAAATTTCAAAATTTATAACCAAACAATTTATTTTTTTTTTCAAAACTCATAACTCAAAATACGACTCCACACTCAAATCATGATTCTAAAAATAATTTAAAAAAATAAAATAAACTTTTTTTGAAATTGTTTTTCTTTTAAAATAGAGTTTTTGAAAAAGTTTGGTTTTGAGTTTTGGAAAGAGTTTTAAGTTTTGAAAAAAGTTTTGAATTGAGTTTTAAGTTTGTGTTTGGTTATGAGTTTTGAAAATAATTTTTGAATTGAGTTTTGAGTAATAAAAACATGTTCCGAATTTTATTTTTTTTTAAGAAACATGTTGGGAGTTTTTTTGATAAATCCATTTTCTAAGAGCTTTATTCCATCCAACCCATATTCTTTTTGACTATTCCATTAGGTCCAATTTGAGATAAGAAGACCAAAATATTATTTTCATCTACTTATGTTCCATTTAGTTTACATTATTTTCTTATGTTTCAATAAGTACTATGGGTGACATAATTACCAAAATACCCTTAATGTGAATGTTCACACCGTCAATATAAATGTTTATATCGTCAATGTGTAGGGGCCCGGCTCATGTCGATCCTCGTGGGTGCCCGGAAAAATTCGAGTCGGGCCGGGCCGGCCCATAAGCCAAAAAAATAGGCCCGACCCGGCCCGTTGATAATATAAATATTCACATTGACAAGTTAACATTCACAATGATAGGAGTGTAAAATTGGCCTGCGGCCCGTGGGCGGTCCGAAACCAGCCCGTCGCCTAGGGCGGGCCCGGGCCGTCTCGTTTACAATATGAATATTCACATTGATATATTAATAACTTTATCACAATTATGTTATTTATCAACATTTATATTGACACTGCATGACATGATGTATATCAAAAATAATATTATCACATCAAACCGAATGGTTTATTATTCAAAAAAATTATTTGTGAATTATTTTTCATTTCAAAAGTAAGTTATAGAACTAAAAAAATATAACAAAAAAAGTATACATTAAAATGATATGGTCGTGTTTTGAGTCTGCTATTAAAAAGTTATTGCTTGCCACATCATTTTGATCGATTTTTTTTTAAAACGTTTAGTAAAATTCTTTTTTGACACCATTTGAGTTCTCTACTACTTTTATGATTAACAAAGGAGAAGGACGAATTATTATACAAAAGTCATATGCAAAAATGATTATTAATCTAATTGAAAAGATCCCAATATGCTATTGGATATGAAGATTGAATGGAAAAATGTGAAGAAACTTCCGTTTGAGGAATGTCAAAGTGGAATAATTCCTCCATACATAGAACTTGGATATGAATGAGATGCCAAATGAACTAAAACCCCTTTATTCTTTTGTATAAACAATGGATAATTTGCATAGTCAAATTGAGGGTCGATCAATGGAATTAATTTACTGACCAGAATTCATGTATATCAGTAGTAAAAAGTCATAAATTCAACTCGTCTCTCCTCCTCTAATTTATCACAAACACAAAATTAAAAGTCTATTGATAGAAATACAAAAATCAATTCCCATTTAAAATGCAAATGTTCTACCACTGAACTGCAAGAGATATATATATATATATATATGTATGTATATAATTTGAGCAAATTGGCTTTGACAATATGACAATTTGGTAATGGGTTGAACCTTTATTTTTTCCTTATTTTTTATTTGGGGAAAACCATGAGGGAAAGCTTTTTTATTTTTATTTTATATATATATATTTGACGCACATGTGGAAAACATTAGGATCTCTAAATGTTGGCACAAAATGTCAAGTGCAAAGATGTGGAGACCGAAAAATGCTTTGCAACTCTAATTTTTGAGTTCTAAAGATATATATATATATATATATTTGACACACATGTGGGAAGCATTAGGACCTCTAAATGTTGGCACAAAATGTCAAGTGCAAAGATTTGGAGACTGAAAAATGCTTTGGAACTCTAATTTTTGAGCTCTAAAGATAGCTCTAATTAATTGGCAGTAGGCTCCGCCCACAGTGATATGATGTTTTGGTCTTAATTTGTTTTTATTTTATTTTTTTTATTCATTGTCATATCATTAGTACTTCATTAAAGTACTAAAATTAATGGTCTAAATCATTGCTGTTTGGACACCCCACATATCACACTTCAAGTTTTCTCCACATTTGATGTCAACAGCATTTTTGTGGCTTATATATAGGGCTTGTGAACCAATCCTTTCTATCAAACAAAATCAAAGACAAAATGGGGAAACATGCAAATCTTCAACGCCTTGGTTGCTCACTCTCCCTCAAGGGATTCTGACTCTTATTTGTGCACATATTTTGTCCCTAATTGTGCTTGGATCTTAGCTTTTTTTTTTTCTTTTGTTCACAAATTCAAAATTCAAGTACAGCATAAACATAGGGCATTTGTGATAGGGCTAAAAGTACTTAAAGGAGAATGAACAAGCCATGTGTTGCTTGTTAGGAGTAACGATGGCACAGTTCCGAGTCCAAGACATCCCAATTGTCTACTCTCCCTCAAAGGTTTCTGACGATATTGGTAAGATAGCAAGCCCGAAGCCTCTAGGAAAAGTGAGTGAAAGATGTCTTGATAATGTTACAAGATTGGGAATGGGACAAGAAAGGACATAAAGATTCACATACTTTATATTCATTCAATTATGTTACAATAACATTTGAGACATCTTTTCGTTATTGACTAAATGACTAATCCTTATAAGGAGTTGGCCAAAGTGTTGGGCTGTCATTTATTTGATAAAAAAATAACAGCAATGAAATCACATTTTATATTATGTTATATTTCCTATTTTACTATTAGTGTAATAGGTTCCATCAACCCACCTTCATCATGCCATCACTATGGTCATCACCATCTCCATCACTTCTATTACATTGCCACACTACACTGCTACCACAACTACTAATACATTAATTTTAAGCCTACAATCAAATAATATAAAATATAATCTGCCAAAACAAACTTGGCATTACGGATAAATTTTTACCATAAAGTTATTACAACCCCACAACCCACATATAAAAAAATAAAAATAAAGGTCCTTGTCATTTGTTTGTAGTTTTCCTCCATTTCAATTTTTGTACTTCTACTTTTTTTTTTCCACCCTAGAGGTCCCCATGAAGCAGTACTGGTGATTGTCGTGAAAAAATGATTCGGCATCTAGTGGGTACTGTTAGGCTAACACCATAGACATTGGCCCAGTTTGTTATCACATATTGAAAATTGTTTTTAGAAAACAACCATTTTTTTTCCTTTTCTTTTTTTACTTTCAACAACCATTTTTTTTTAGTATATTTAAATTATTTATCTCATAAATTGTAAGTATAAACTTCACTA